CGAGTAAGTATGATGAAGAGTTGTGCGTTAATTTCTTTGGCCATCAAATTATCATTAACGTTTTTTATTTTAAAATTGGCAAGTTTTGGAAAAGTTTTAATTACTCATTTTATTACCATTATTATAATAATTTGTTTTATTGTTATTAATGGTAATTGAGTAATTATGGATCAATTGAGCATGATTTGGTTATTTTGAAAACCTTTTTCCATTTCAAATTGTCATAATAATTTGTGCTAAAATTTGCTTTAATGCATGTTGTTATTGTTTTGGTACATTTTTTATGGTAAAGGTAAATTGCTATTTTTTGTGACTAGTTGTCATGATTTGATGATATATTGAGATGTTGGGTGATTGTTGCAATCGTTTGCATTTAACGACAGTCCATTGTTAAGGTAATTAGTAAGGTCATAAAATTTTAGTCAAGGACCACTTTTATGCCTTTATATCCGTTTATTAAAGTTGAAAATGTTGGTTATTATATTCTATGCAACATTATTGTTTTTCGGATTTTTATTAAGTTTTAAATTTTCAGAAAATGTTTTAAAGGTTTGCGGTGCGGTGTTAGCAATTGTTTTTTCCATGTTAGATCTCCTAATTGTCATAATATTATGTTTATGGCTATTCATGGAAATTTTATAATTTGCAACCTTGCCATAATTCAATAATAATATTTTAATTATGGAGTGTGATTTTGAATTACAATTTTGGAAAATACATATGTTTATGGCTTTTTGATATTGCTTTAATTTCAGTCTTGGCATAATATTCTCGATTATGATGTTAAGAATTATATTTTGTAATTCTTATTGAATTTGTTTATCCAAAATTTTATGGGAATAATGACAATATTATGTAGCATTTAATAATAATAATTATAATTATTGTTATTATTAAATATTGTTCGGTTACAATTAAGAAAATTGATTATTCTGTTATTACTGTTATGTAATAATTATTAGAATTATTATAGTAATAACGATTATTGATTTTTGAACCGATGGATCAATGTTTGTGCCGTTACTATCATCGTTGATTTTGGATTGCGATGCCCACTTTGATTAAGTATGAATATTTGATTTTATATTCATATTTTTTAAGTTTGTTTTATGCATATAATTAAATTAAGTGCATAATATTATTGTTTAAATTATGCAATTTTGTGAGAATTTAATTCGTAAATGTCAACATATCATATGGTTTTGATATGGTTAGAATTTACAATTTTAAACTAGTTCTCATAAAGTTTACTATATGCATTGAATCAATTTTGTATTGGGCCTACAAGTTAAAACTTTTCAATAATTGAAAAGTATATTGAAAAGTATATGGTTATTATAAATTCTTATTCAAATTTTATAATCCTTCAAGTTTTGGATTTATGTTGTTATTTGAATAATAGTTTTATAGCTCATTTTAAATTGTTGTTATGGTGCACAATTTATTTGTATATGAGCATATTGAATTTCACATATAATCGTTCACTAGCATAACATTATATTTTATAGTTACGTGAATTTAATTATGCCTTTGGAATTGCATAAGTTGGAAATTATAATAATTCCTTGTTAAGGTGAACCTTGTGTGTGTAATAATAAACGGTAGTGCATTATGTTTAAGCACCTTTAGACCGTTTAGAATGTTCACTTGAGATTAAAAGTCTTTCCATAGGCGAACTATTAAAGATTTGGAAAGATTGCTTGTCAATTATGCCTTTTGTGTGAGAAAACATAAACCGGTGAAAAGTTTCTCGGGAATGGGCCAATGTGCTACTAGTTCCCTTGAAACATTACTCTGTCTAAGGAGTTGGTTATTTTTAATGAGGCTCTGTCCCAACCAACTTTCCTGGGAGTACACTTGGAATTGTTTATCATATTGTTGCATAATTGTTTTTTAGGCTTTAAAGTTGATGCCTAAGATATTAAGAAAATAGTCTAGTGATCTTATAATTTTGATTAATTAAGTAATATCCACGATATCTTTGATTAATTGAAATTTTGTGAGATCACATACAGTCATAGACGTATTGATTGTGATTAATTATATGATATAATAAAATTTAGCCCACAGGCAATTTTGTTATGTTTATATAATTAATTAGGGTAAAAACACCAAACTATGATCATAATTTAGCCCACAGGCAATTATGCATCGGAATATAGTTTTGGTGAGTTTTATCATTACAGATAGGAAAGTCAATTTATTTAACAATATGGTTTTAATATAAATAAATTGGCGTCTTCTATCATAAAGTTATGATATATGTACATATTCAAAGGTATTTTTATGTGTACATTTTGTGGTATTAGTCTAGTTTCTTTTATGTGTATTTATTATGTATGGAAGAAATTTAGATTAATAGCTTGGTACATTAATATTCTTTTGTGTACAAATATCAAGTGATCAATACAATTTCATAACTGAAATCATTAAGTTATTTTGATCACTTTGTGACTAATTACATGAAGTATAATAAAATCTACCCACAGGAATTTTATTATATTAATGTAAATAGTCAAGATAAAATATTAAATCATATTTCTTAATTTACCCACAGGGATTAAGAAAAGGAACATGGTTTGACAGTTTTATCATAAAGTTGTAGATGGATCTAATTGAATAAAACTTTAGCCCACAGGCAAGTTTTATGTCACTAGATTCTTCTATCCCCTTTGATAATAATTTTATCATAATGTTTTAGTTGAGTCTAATTGAACAAAACTTTAGCCCACATGCAAGTTTTGTGTCACTAGATTCTTCTATTTGATTATCACAAAGTCTCAGTTGAGTCTAATTGAATAAATCTTTAGCCTACAGGCAAGTTTTATGTCACTGGATTCTCCTGTTTAAATTGATGATCAAGATAAAATTTTATCATACCAATTTTAGAATTTATAACTTTAAGGCCAGTTATAATTCTATATTATGTAACATGGGTTGCATTGGCAACACATGTATTTTGTTAACCTCCAAAACTTTAGTAACTTGAAATTGTTACTGTATGTGGCTTACTTGATTTTTCAGCCCAACCACAATAGAGCTTTTGAATTTGGACATGATATACTTTTGGATCCTTATTGGAATTGTACATATCTAGCCAAATTTCAACTAAAGCAATTTAATTTGTTTAAGTTGTTGGAAATTGTGTTTGTTACATGTACATATTTAACATGACCAACTATGGTGGGGAATTATAATCCTTGTTAAATTAGTTGGACTTGAGGATCATTAGTATGTATATCATTTATGCTTAAGAATAACTTATTTAGTGGGAGTAATGGTTTGATCAATGGGAGTGATCATTTAAAAGATCAATAAGATGTCCCATTTGATCAGTGGGAGTGATCATTTGGAAAGATCATTAAAGATGTCTCACTTCAAGATTGCTCCACTTCAAGGATAAGACACCTTGCTTTGTTATTATAAAATCAATAGTTCAATTTGTTGAACTAGCTACAAGTTTTGCAACATATTTCTGAAAATGTTGTAACAACATTAATAGTTTTTATTATAACAATGGCATTAAGTTTATGGTGAACTATCATGGGTTAGATTCTTTAGCATTTATTGGAGTCTTTCATCTCATCAAATTGATCCTGGGCCATTAAGATTTAAAAGGTTCAAGATTCAATGTTGACAGACATGAAATTAATATAGACGATGGATTCGGTAGTGTTGAAACTGGCGTTGTGACACAATTAATTTATAACGCAGTTTGGGCAAACAACCCTAAACTGCGAGGCACTTATCAAATTGAGAATTTGCCTAAATCCACTAAAAGCTTGATATTCAAAGTACACTTGGTTTAGGGAACAGGAATTACACAATATGATATCCTATCAAACTATTGTAACCTAAACACTTGTACTACTTTTCAAGGGAATTTGGGTATCTCTTCTCAATGACTCTCGTGCTCACAGTTAGGTGTTGAAAGCGTGAGTTCTTGTGATTGAGAGTGGCTTCTTTTATAGGATCTATTTAACCTTAGTTTGTGTATGAAAAGGTTATTAATCCTAATCATATTTGAATTATGATATCTTCTATGATTGGGATATGGTTTTTGCTGCTAACGCTTTGACAATTCATTTGAAGTCAACACTCTCCCCCTTTGTCAAACTTTTGCAAAAACCTTGATCCTTAGAGATGTTTGTTACTTGGTTTGTCTCCCCCTTAGTTTGATGTCTCTTCTTTTAATTTGCATTTGTTGAGACTACTAAACAGTGTGGATCATAAGAAGATTGAACCTTGATCCTTAGAGATGCTTGTTTCTTGATTTATCTCCCCCTTAGTTTGATGTGTCTTCCTTTAATTCGCATTTGTTGAGACTTATACACAGTGTGGATCATAAGGAGATTGTTGTCCAGTCTTGGTACTTCAAGTATAAAAAATGAAAGAGGAAAAAAAATCGGATAGATTAAAAGCCTCTAGATGGATCAGTTTTATTCTAAATTCCAGAGGAAAGTGTTCAAACTTAGTCTTAGTTAAGAACACCCCGACAGCTTCAAAGTTATGACCAATAAGAAGGATAGTCATAAGATTGTTACAAGTGGCTATTAAAGCTGTATCCAGAAACTGCTCAAACAGATAGATCACTGTCCAAAAAGAATTGTTCAAGCTAGTCTTCAAACATAACATTTTTATACCCATCAAGCCAGATAGGAACCTTAAGAGCTGTTCAAGTCAGATAGAGACTTCAAAAAAACTGTCAACCAAAAATGTCTCAAAAACTGTCAACCAGAACCAGAACTGTCAACCAGATAGAACTTGTCTCCCCCTTTTTTGCTAAAAGTTTTGAGAAGCTAGGTAGATTCTTCACCATGTTCTTCTTCTTCATCTTCTTCTTCCTGACCATCTTCTTCTTTTTCTTGACCCTCTTCTTCTTCATTTTCACTATTCTGATCATTTTCTTGTTCATCATCTGCTTCATCATTCTCTTGACCCTCTTCTTCTTCATTTTCACTGTTTTCTTCATTTGTTCTTGTTTTTAGGGCTTTCAACCATTATAGGACTTCAGCTTTTTCTTCTTTGATTTCCATGTGTTTTCGTAACAACTGTTTCTCCGAGTCATCTAATTCTTGTATCCTTTTCTCAAAGTACTTGATCAATGTTTGTTGGTCAGTTGGATCATCCGTTGGAATTGAGGCCTTGAGATCATTTTGGTGACTTCCCTTTTTCAGCTTCATTGTTGTGTTGATGGTTTTGACTTGTGTTTTTGGTCCTTGTGATTTCAGTCCTTGCTTGGATAGGATAGACTGGATTAGATTTGGGAAAATGAGGGAAGCTTTTGATTCACTACTTTCTGCCAAATTTATGATTTGTGAATACACAATATTTTCGATGTTGACCTTGATTCCCTTTCCAGTTTTGTATAGGAGCTCTGCCAAACTCCATTTGATCGTTGTTTCGTGTAGAGAAGGCATCCAGTTCACAAGAGCAATCTTTTGTAGTATAGCATATTTGCTAGTTAGTGAGGCAGCCTTGATTTTCTTTTTGTCATAACTCACGTTTCCAGCTGTGAGCTCTTGAATAACCTGCTCACTCTCTAGTTGGATATTTTGTTCTTCACTGGTTGTTTCTAGGTGGGCAATGATGATTTCTGGATTGAAATCATAAAATTTTCCTCTCAGATATGCTTTTCCATACATAGGGTTGGTGGGAGATGATGTGTTTTTGGTGAGGTTACAGTAAAACTCTCTCACAGCCAGTTCTTCATAGGATTCAATATTAATGACTGATCCTAAGAGTTTGGTTCTTGTTAGAACCTCAGTGATTTGTTCACAATTCTCCAGTCTGTCTAGTATTAGAAGCTTTTGGCTGATAAACTTTTTCTCCAAGTATTTATTCCATGCTTTGGAATTGTCTTTAGACAAGAATTTTGGACTGTAGGGCTTGGGTAGTTTTGACAGGTCAGCATCAACAACTACTTTCTGTTTTCCTTTTTCCCTAACAGACATTTTCTTTTTCTTCCTTTCCGGACGGGTTTTATCACAAACAGAGACTTCTCTTTCGGGTTCCCATTCTTGTTGGGGTCTAGCTGAAACTGGAAAGTCACTAGGCCTTTTCGCTCTAGGATCTGCCCCTTCGTAGGGGTCAGATCTTCTCCGTTTTCTCTGTTCTCTGTCGGACAGAGGAGGTGGGGATGAAGATTCAATACCTCCAGTTATAGGGCGTTCTTCCTCGGTTTGGGGACATTTAGCATTATCCCCAATTTCATTCGTAGGGGGTAGATCGATTGTGATGTTCCCGTGTAATTCAACTATAGGATTACCTGGATTAGGGTTTTGTTGATCTTGTATTTCCTCGAACGGTACTTGTGATATGGGGACCGGGTCCATGATGATGGTGGTGGATTCCTCTTCTTCGATACATACTGGATTTGATGGAACACCGGCGCCGGCGTACTATGAGGTGGTGCCATAATTGTGTTTGATTTACGGTTGTCTGTAGGCAAGATAGATCACCGTCCCATGTGTAGCATTTATTTGTTGATTTTCTTCCGATCATAACACATTCATGATTTTGATTGAGAAGATTGCAACTATCTTTTGTGAATTCCACTTTAAGTTCATCTTCACATAGTTGACTTATACTAATCAGGTTTGCTTTTAACCCTTGTACTAAGAAGACTTTCGACAATTTTGGTAGTCCATGTACATTCAGGGTTCCATTTGCAACAATCTTTCCTTTTCCTCCATCTCCAAAGGTAACATATCCTTCATCTTTGTAGTGTATGTTCTCTAAATTTTCTGGATTTCCAGTCATATGCCTGGAACATCCGCTGTCAAAATACCATATATCTTGCCCCTTGTTTGTTTTGGAGGTGTATGCAACATTTTGATCTTTTCTTACCCAGACTTTCTTGCTATTATTTCTGTTGTGTGGTGGCCATACTCTGTTGTTTTGTCTGTAGTAATAATCATTTTGTCTTTTGTAGCAATGTGCTTTGATGTGTCCTAGTTTGTGACAATAGTAGCATCTTATTCTTCTTCGATGTCGGAAGTTCTGTTGTGACACTTCCTGTATTTCAGGTTGGTTATTCTCACTGGTGTCCGTGCTTGGAGTCCTGGGTCTTTCGGTTAGCCCCTTGATCTCTTGTAGTAATTTAGCTTCATTGTTTTTGAAGTCTGATAGTTCTTTTTGAGCTTCTTTGTATTATTTTTCTAATCGTTCTTTTTCATTTTTTAAATAATGATTATCTTCCATGAGTTCCAAATTTTTCTTGACGATTTGCTCCCACTTGGCGTTTAGTTGAGTGTATGCTTCTAGTAGCTCTTGCATATCATCACTATTGTTGTCTTCATGGCTAGCAGTGAAGGCTACGAAGTTTGTGTTGTTGTCATCTTCTTCATTATCTGAGTCATCGCTCAGAGTTGTTATATATGTCTTGTTTTTCCTTTTCAGCGGGTATGTGGCACATTCTGATTGAATGTGTCCAAAGCCTTTACATTCATAGCATTGTATTCCTTCTGTGATTGCATTATCTCTTCTCTTTGGATTGAATGGTTTTTGATTTGCAGAATTTCCTTGGTTGTTTGAGAGATTTTTATTCCTGGTCTTGTTGAACTTTTTGAGAACCCGGTTAAAATTCTTTGTCAATAGAGCTATTGACTGTTCCAAGGTTTCTGAATCAGTTTCTGAGTTCTCTTCTTGTCTGGACTGTAATGCTATTCCTTTACCATTGTTTTTCTGATTTTGTAGCATCTCAAGTTCATAGGTCTGAAGATTTCCTATTAGGTCACTAAGTCTGTATGTATTCAGATCTTTATTTTCTTGAATAGCGGTGACTTTCATTTGGAATCTCCCAGGCAGTGAGCGTAGTACCTTTTTGACGATCCTATGTTCGGGTATAGGTTCGCCTAGGTTGAATGCATCTCCATATATACTTAAGACTCTGGCACTGAATTGGGTGATGTTTTCTTCCTCTTCCATTTTCAAGTTTTCAAATTCAGTTTGTATTATCTGAAGCTTAGATTGTCTTACAGTTGTGTTTCCCTCATGATGGTCGCACAATATACCCCACGCAATTTTAGCTATGCGAGTTGATGCAATTAGTTTAAAAGTGTCTTCGCTTACTGCTCCATATATTGCATTCATAGCCTTTGAGTTAAAGTCATATTCAGTTTTCTCTTCTTCGCTCCAATCAATTCTAGGCTTTGCATTCCCTTTGTCATCGACTGGGGTTTTCCATTCGTTTTCTATTGCATTCCAGACGCCTTCTCCTTGTGCTAGAATGTATATCTGCATTCGTGCTTTCCAGTAGGAAAAGTTTGTGCCGAGTAGAGCCGGTGGTCTATTGTTTGATAATCCTTCTCTTGGGAATTCCATTTGGATCCTGCTAGTAACTTGAGCAGACCCGCTCTGATACCAATTGAAATTAATATAGACGATGGATTTGGTAGTGTTGAAACTGGCGTTGTGACACAATTAATTTATAACGCAGTTTGGGCAAACAACCCTAAACTGCGAGGCACTTATCAAATTGAGAATTTGCCTAAATCCACTAAAAGCTTGATATTCAAAGTACACTTGGTTTAGGGAACGGGAATTACACAATATGATATCCTATCAAACTATTGTAACCTAAACACTTGTACTACTTTTCAAGGGAATTTGGGTATCTCTTCTCAATGACTCTCGTGCTCACAGTTAGGTGTTGAAAGCGTGAGTTCTTGTGATTGAGAGTGGCTTCTTTTATAGGATCTATTTAACCTTAGTTTGTGTATGAAAAGGTTATTAATCCTAATCATATTTGAATTATGATATCTTCTATGATTGGGATATGGTTTTTGCTGCTAACGCTTTGACAATTCATTTGAAGTCAACAAGACATAAAGCATGCAAAGACACATGATGTTGGTTCATATGGATGAATCTTGAGGTTTTTTTTTTTTTTATGATGATACAATAATTTTGTTGTTTCATAAAGTTACATTAATAAATCCTCGGTATTGCTCTATGACATGAAAGTTGGGCTTCCTTCCTTTGTTTTGGAGATCATTTATAAGGTGTATGTTTAAAGTTCCGTTTGTGGGCTTAGACACATGAATTTGTTATCTAAGTTGTTGGAATATGGACTACTCAATTATTATCTTTGTCTAAGATTAATGAGAGTAGGAGTGACAGACGTGTCAACTCTGAAAACTTAGCTGTCAGCGATAATATTAAAGATAATGAGTTAGTCGTGTGATATATTAGCATTTTTGCTAATAGTTTCAGATCCCTACTTAAGGCATGTTTATAAGAATTTTAGGGATCATACAGGGTACATGGAACTTATTATGTGACTATATTGTACGTACATTTATGTTGTCACCTCTATGTAACTTGGATGGTTTCTCCTATGGTTATGCGCATATTTATTTGAGAAACATCCATAAGGTTGGACCAAGAGTAAACGTATGGTTTATTCATAAAGAACCTGAGTTGAGAATCAAAATGCATGTGATGCATAGATGGTATTACTCACACTTCAATTTAGAGGACATACCACTATGATTCATGTTTTTTGATATTCAACAAAGGTTGTGCCAATACTTGCACAAAATGGAAAATTGTAATATTTTCCACTAATATTGTACAAATGAAGTTGTGCAAGTTTATTAGGCCAAATTTAGCCATTGCGGCAATGATTAGTTTTGATAACTAATTATAATCAAGAATGAACATAAGGTTTATTCATTAAGTTTTGTTACCACATAAAGTACTTAGAGGAAAAGTTACATTTGTGGTCATAGTGGATACTACTCCCACTAAGAGGAACTATCTCTATGGTTACATTCATGTTTTCTATTTCCTTAAGTTTATACTTGTACCAAGTGGGAGAATGTAAACAATATTTTCCATTAAGTCATATTATTGTGCTGCAAGTTTAAATAGGGCACTTTATGGCTACTTAGTGGTAGCATTAATGTTGTAACGGAAATAACAGTTTCCGTTACAAAGCCTATATTGATGGCATATAAGGCTATATAAGTATAGGTCCTCCCACTGCTCTGGAACACCTGAAATACACCATCTATATTTTCCGGAGAACAAGTGGGAGACATCGTTACTCTGCAGAAATTTCTACTACGATTATTCACAACGCAATACACAAAGGTGTCAACTATGGCTGGAGTTTTGCTCGATTCCCATGCTTCCGCTACGAGGTTAGATCATTACAATTATAATATTGTATAATTATTCTAACATTTTAAACATACATGTTGCCCCTATATTGGCATATAGTTGACAATGTGCCAGAAAAAATACTAGATTTCTTATGATGGTGGAGAGTCACGATTAGGTAGTCTCAATTCTTGATGCCTAACCGTTTACGACTTAATATTTTAATATATAGAAGATTTTAAAATTTATAAAGTGTTTCACTTTACTCATACAACATATTCACATATCTCATACATAAAGACATAAAGTGCATGAAAAGTAAACTCGATCTTAGTCATAGACTTCTAAATGGTCAAAATTAAGCCACTGTATTTTGACCGCCCATAATAAATTGTTAAAATTAAACTCATACCTATTGCATATAAGCTTCTATCATACATAATCTTGGGGTTTAATTTTCAACTCTTGAAGTGTTCGAGATCTTCGTACATACATTTCCTATCTACCATAAATAGGGTACATTTTTAGAGAAGAAAATTACATTACAACAATATATATAAGTGGCACGCAAGCCCCAATTTTAATTAATCATGGAAACGGTGCAAAACTTAAATAAATCTCATTCATTCTAGGGTCCTAACTCCATGACCAAAGCGACATGCTAGGCAATCCATTCCTTCAAAGGGTTGAACCCCAATCCTAAGAGTCCCCCACACTCTAATCCGACAGAGCATTTTGGAGTATGTAAATCATGGTAACTCAACTAAACATAAATCACAGAGGCTAGACCTTTACTCACTGCGCACAAGGAACCCCCTCACTTTGAGAGGTAGCTCCCACACTACCGCTGGTGAGACTCGATCCCTGGTCATTCTTCCAAAGTTTCACCTCACCGAATGCTAGGCAATCCATGCATAGTAAAAAAGTTGTAATGAAACACTTTAATTTAAAATATAGTAATAATGGAAAGTTTCCTAAATAGCATTCAATAATCTCATAATGAATCACTCTTTATATAGTAAAATAAATATTTCAAGATCACAACAATGTAATTATTAGAGTTAATTTCACTTTTGATCCTATAATTATTGCAGTGTTGTCAATTTCAGTCCACAACTTTCAAAACCAACAATTTAGTACCTTAACTATTCAGTTTTTATCAATTTTAGTCACTCTGGCCAAATTGACGACCAATTGTCGCTAATTTTTATCCACATCCCACCTGCCTCTGTATTAATTCAAACAATAGTTCACAAATTAGCTTCCATTTTAACACTGAATTAAAAGATTTCGACAATAATTGACCAATAATTTGATCGGATTGACTAAAATTTATAACAATTGAATAGTTATAGTACTATATTGTTAGTTTTAAAAGTTGTGGACTCAAATTGACAACACCCCAATAGTCATAGGACCAAAAGTGAAATTAACTCGTAATTATTACTACCATAAAATTATATTTTAAATGGTAATAATAATGTATCATCTAATCTTCCGAAATAGTAATATTTTCAAATATAGAATATTTTCAAAATAATCATTATAATAATAATTAATACTACAAAAAATATCTAATATTTAATTTGATAATAACCTTTTGGTATTATCAATATAGAATATTTTTAAAATAATATAATACCGTGATACTACCAAAAAATATCTAATATTTAATTGGTAGTAATATTTCTTGTCAAAATTACACTTTAACCGCATCGGTTGTCATTAATATATTATATGTTTATATTTAACATATTTTATATCTACAGTTAATCGTTTATGTGTTTCTAGTTATTATTTTATGTATGTATAGTTAACATGTTATGTGTTTTCAATTTAATTATTTAAAAATACAAAAACTATTGACTACACGTAAAAATTATGCCAGCTGCAGACATATAATTTGAAAATTATTTTGGACCAGGGACCACAAGGCGAAGTAGACACTTGTCCTTGGTATATAACTGTCCATTTCTCTTGTGATTATTTGCTTTATTCTATTCTCCAACAAATAATGTAAATATTTTAACTTTAATCGAACGAATAAAACCAGTTTAATTTAAAGAAACATGATCCCCCCAAAAAAAACTATATTATATTGCAAGGCTAAAATATGGTTCAAGTTTATAATAATAACTAGTTTTTTTACGCGTTTTGTGCGAATGGGATAATGCCCAATAATTATTTTTAAATAAGTATTTCAAAGTATATCAACGCAATATTATATCGGAGATGTTCATGCATATGTAAATAAATATTGAATTTGTTTATTTAAATCGGTAATTCAAAATATATAAATGCAAGATAATATTTATTGAATTTTCTAATCGATATTTGGTAGTGGTAGTTTTCCCCTACATGTTTCATGCATTGTGAGATGTGTGTCGTAGGTTATCATGTGAAAGTATTGAACAAAATATTAATATTTATTATATTTGTATAAAATACTTGGTAAATAAATATATATAATGTATTTTGTATTATAACTTTGATATTTAATTACAAGATAATGTAAAAAAAAAAAAAAAGACAATGGACAATGCAGTGAATATAATAAATTGATAAATTTGAAGGTAATGAATCTTTGAATGGTAGAAAATAAAGATAATATAATTAATGAAATTATATCTATTTTTAAATTTTTATAATGAATAATTTTTAAAAAAAAAAAATAAAGGCATTATAGACATCTAATTCTAAATTAATTAAATGCATATGCATTATTTTTTATTGTAGCTATTACTTTATTTAGTTTAATAAGAATAATAAAGTGGCGTATATACTTTTCATCAACAATAATACAATCATTGATTTTTTTTTTTAATGCATACAAAAAATATTAATGCAAAAGTATAATTGAAATATTAAGTTTTTTTCTGATCTAAATAATCAAAAGAATATTAAGTTTTTTTCTAATCAAATGATTTTTAAAGTTCTTGATTTATAATCTTTAATTTGATGCTTACCTTTGAATGTTATGTATTTAGTCAGACTAATTATTTGAACAAAGTTTATGTTAAATTTTATATTATATATTTTCTTTAAAAAAAATGCATACAAAAAATATTAATGCAAAAGTATAATTGAAATGTTAAGTTTTTTTCTGATCTAAATAATCAAAATAATATTAAGTTTTTTTTCTGATCAAATGATTTTTAAAGTTCTTGATTTATAATCTTTGATGCTTAACTTTGAATGTTATGTATTTAGTCAGACTAATTATTTGAACAAAATTTATGTTAAATTTTATATTATATATATTTTAAATATATTTTAACATATTCGTAGTATATGTTTAACAAATAACACCGGAATTATATATATGTAGATATGGAGCTTTTATTCTCATTTTACATCATCTCTTTTTAATTTCCTTTTCTCATACAATGGAAAAAAATGATAAGAGTACAGTCAGTAAAGCAAGACAAGAGGCAGCACAGGAAATGAACCTATACTATCTTGGGCTCATCACTTGCGAGCTCGCCGCTAGGACTTGGTGCTTCAACTGGACCTTCTACAGATTCCCCAGGATAGGAAAACCTACAAGAGGAGAACCTTGTGGGGGAACAGGAAAATGAGGGGTAGGAAAACTTGCAACATCAGGGCTTGAGTTTGGGGTACCAGGGAAATCTGGGATAGGAACACCTGCACGAACAGAACTTATAGGGGGAACAGGAAAACCAGGGATAGGAAAACCTGCAAGAGGAGAACCTTGTGGGGGAACAGGAAAGTGAGGGGTAGGAAAACCTGCAACATTAGGGCTTGAGTTTGGGGTACCGGGAAAATCAGGGATAGGAACACCTGCACGAGCAGAACTTATAGGGGGAATAGGAAAACCTGCAAGAGGAGGACCTTGTGGGGGAATAGGAAAACCAGGGATAGGCGGAAAAAGTCCAAGAGAAGAACCTTCCGGGGGAACTGGAAAATGAGGGGTAGGAAAACCTGCAACATCAGGGCTTGAGTTTGGGGTACCGGGGAAATCAGGGATAGGAACACCTGCACGAGCAGAACTTATAGGGGGAATTGGGGGAATAGGAAAACCAGGGATAGGCGGAAAACTTGCAAGAGGAGGACCTTGTGGGGGAATAGGAAAACCAGGGATAGGCGGAAAAAGTCCAAGAGAAGAACCTTCCGGGGGAACAGGAAAATGAGGGGTAGGAAAACCTGCAACATCAGGGCTTGAGTTTGGGGTACCAGGGAAATCAGGGATAGGAACACCTGCACGAGCAGAACTTATAGGGGGAATAGGAAAACCAGGGATAGGCGGAAAACCTGCAAGAGGAGGACCTTGTGGGGGAATAGGAAAACCAGGGATAGGCGGAAAAAGTCCAAGAGAAGAACCTTCCGGGGGAACAGGAAAATGAGGGGTAGGAAAACCTACAGGAATGTTTGCTGATGAAAATGATGACAAATCTAGTATCTTTTCTGTAACTTGATGATTTTCTTGTTTAAGAATACGAGCATCACAGTACCTTGTCAAGCTCATACCCAAGATCAAGCAGAGCACATATAGCACCTTCAATAATATTTGATTCGTCATTTTCTTTAATTTTTTTCTAGAAACACAAAACACGTACTAAATCAAGTAGAGAGAAAAATGGTTTTCACTATAGGCATCATTACCCATATTTGTTTACTTATATAGCCACACACAAAGACCAAAAAAGGAAAAAAAATAAAAATTAAATCTAAAAAAATAAATAAAAAGAAAACAACAAATAATGTTTCCACCTAACAACCGTTTCTTTCCCCAAGTAAAAATATTGCATATAAAACAACAATTTATGTTTCCACCTAACAAATGTCTCCCCAAGCATATTTGCCTGCCAAAATTGGGTGTTTATAATTTCTGTGCGATTTTTGTATTTGAGAAGAAAAGGAAATAATGTAATATTTCCTAACTTAAGGTATTGCATTATATTAATTACGTTAATAATAATTATTTTGGACTATAACATCTTTGTAAATCAGGAAATAATGCAATATTTCCTTACTCGAAAGAAGATTTATTATATGGAAATTTGCTTCCATATAAACTTGAAGTTTTGTATATTTTGATTCTATCTGTTAAGGCCACAAATTAATGCATTACAACTTTTCTGCTATGCATGGTCGTTCGATTAAAGTTAAAATATTTACATTGTTTGTAGGAGATTAGTACAATTTTAACAGAATAAAGAAAGTCATCACAAGAGAAAATGGCAAATTATAATATGAATGAGGGTCTACTTAATTTGTAGTGTGGAGCTTGTTCTAAAATAACTTTTACCACTTAAAATATAAGTTTATGGTCGTACTCATTACATTGTTGTGATCTTGAAATATTTTTTCCTCTCCACATTATCTTTTATATAGTGAATATCGATTTGCACATGTGACTTTAATTTGTATGATTAATTTTTCTGTTTTTTAGTGAAAGTTTCTTCATTTTAATTTAACTAAAAAAAAAATAATAAGCATCTTTGGCTCCCAAATTTGGGTCTTCAATTTTGTGCGATTTTTGTATTTGAGAAGAAAAGGAAATAATGCAATATTTCCTAACTTAATTAAGGCATTACATTATACTAATTACGTTAATAATAATTATTTTGGACAATAAAATCTTTGTAGATCAGGAAATAATGCAATATTTCCTAACTCGAAAGTTTAGATTTATTATATGGGAATTTGCTTCCATTTTTTTTTTTTTAAGAAACGGTCATATATTAAAAATAATCAGCAATAGGGTCAGGTGGGATAGCATCCCAGTACATGGCAATAGACTGAGCAAAAGCTAAAGATGCAAGAGTATGAGCTATTAAATTAGCTGATCTAGGAACGAACTTAAAAGATGAATAGGCAAAAGAGGCAATAAAAGTTCTGCATCCATCAATAGCAAAGCAAATGTAAGAACGGAGAGGCCCTGTGTTGGTGGACAAGTACTGTTGTAGAGTCAGGCAGTCTGTGTGGAGCTCCACCTGGTGTTCTCCTCTTCCCCTTAGCCAGGATAAAGCTTCTTTGCATGCTAGCGCATCGGCCATTAGTGGAGAAAAGCAGTCCGGTAGCCGGCGGTTGAAGGCCGAGATGAAGCCTCCATCGTCGACGAATAGTACTGTAACACCCCTAAATTTCAAAACATTTAAAACTTATGGTATAAAGGCAAATCTATTATTAATTCCCAAACAGAGCATAAACTAAACATAAGAGTCGGGGTGCTATGCCACTTCTAAGCTAGAGAACTCAGATGCACAGGCTAAACTATCTTACAAAGCATAAACCACCATGAATATCCAAATGTAAATCAAGGCACGCAAGCCATCTCATCAAGGCTAGAACTATCTAAACTAAGTCCACGAATCCAACTAGCGCGCTCCGAAGCTACTCAATTGGTCCTGAAAAACATTCCGTGTAACAACCGTAAGCGAATAATGCTGGTAACCCACTCCAACGCGTTAAGTACAATATGGTAGATATAAGAAATCATTTTGAAACTAGAATACATATATACTTACGAGACGCTAGTTTAATCTTTTCAATTTGCTTAGTAAATTGCGCTGTTGATTTTGAGGATTGCTAGTAGAGCTTTTTGGTTTGGCAACAAAGACTTTGAATTTGTTTAGATAATGGTTTGGCAGTAACAATTGCACACGCCATTTCCTCATCCATTCATTCCTTTTATTTACTCTGTCAAGATTAAATGTTCTGATTTAATTGCGGTTAATTTCATGTTTTTAGACCTTTTTAAATTGATTGTTTAGTTAATATTCTGGTACGTGGTAATTTACTTGATCACCTTCTTCAGTTTTGATTCAATTATTCATTCGTTTAGCTTTCAGAATTTAAATTATTTTATTCCTAATTAATTAGCTTTGAACCTTTAAATTGTTTAATTAATTATTTTAATTTATAGTTATTAAATTGTCCATATGGTTAATGTTTCTCGAATTTATTCGATGTCTTGCTATTTCATTCTGAGGTTATACAATTATTTTTTCCCGTCGTTATTTTCTTATTGGTAATTTAATTTATTAATCCATTCTGATTATCAATTATGTTTCCTTGACTTCAGATTAATATTAAGTGTTCGCATCCAATTTAATTTCACTACAATTCAAACTTTATTTTCTCTTTCCTAGGGATAGCAATATGCCCCGTCCCCGTCGGGAATCCCCGTCCCCGTAGGGAATGGGGACGGGGACGGGGAAAAATATCGGGGATCGGGGACGGGGACGGGGACGGGGAATTTGTGAAATTCCCCGGCGGGGAAAGGGACGGGGACGGGGATACCCCTCCCCGCCCCACCCTACCCCCGAAAATTTAATATATATATATATATATATATATATATATATATATATATATATATATATATATATATATATATATATATATATACACACACACTCTGTGTTAGATATTAGGATTAGGAATTAGATTATATATAGTGTTAGATATTAGGATTAGGAATTAGATTATATATACTGTTTTAGATATTAGGATTAGGAATTAGTTTATATATACTGTGTTAGATATTAGGATTAGAAATATATATATATATATATATATATATATATATATATATATATATATATATATATATATATATATATATATATATATATATATATATACACACTGTGTTAGATAATTAGATTTTATACATCTATATCTATATACATATAAAAGTAAAATCCTCCTAACAAATTTTCCCCCCAAAACTTTTGTAGTAAAACTTATTTGGTAAGTAAATGTGAAATGGAAAATAAATAATAATAATAATAATAATAATAATAATAATAATAATAATAATAATAATAATAATAATAATAATAATAATAATAATAATAATGTTATTACCTTAAATAAATAAATTATTATACTTTCCCTTAAATAAATAAATTATTATACTTTCCTTTTGAATTAGTATTTTCTACCTATAAATACAATGGCTTCTTCAATCAAAGAATCTCAGACTCATCTCTCTGCTTTCTTTTTGTATGAATTTTCTACATTTTTCTAACTATATTCTCACATACTTCAATATGTTTTGCAGTTTATATCATCTGGTATGAGTTTGAAGATACTTAAGGAGGCTCTACTTCAACAAAAGGAAATTGAGGAGGAAGAGCATTTGTAACAGAACCCTATTGGTTTAGTTTTTATGGAAGATTGTAGAGATGCGATCGAGGATGATAAAGACGGTAATTTTGATAATTTTGTAAGATTTTCTGAAACTTAGAGTTAGTATGTTGACTTCGAGATTTGTACATGCCATTCAAGTTTTTATGTTTTCTTTTTTACCAAGCAGAGTTCATTTTACAGCATTTCACAGCATTTTTATATATATCATTTGAGTAGAGTGTTTGTTTAACCTATTAAAAATTTGGCTATATTTGATTTTTTTCTAATCTATATACATATAAAAGTAAAATCCTCCTAACAAATTTTCCCCCCAAAACTTTTGTAGTAAAACTTATTTGGTAAGTAAATGTGAAATGGAAAATAAATAATAATAATAATAATAATAATAATAATAATAATAATAATAATAATAATAATAATAATAATAATAATAATAATGTTATTACCTTAAATAAATAAATTATTATACTTTTCCTTAAATAAATAAATTATTATACCTTCCTTTTGAATTAGTATTTTCTACCTATAAATACAATGGCTTCTTCAATCAAAGAATCTCAGACTCATCTCTCTGCTTTCTTTTTGTATGAATTTTCTACATTTTTCTAACTATATTCTCACATACTTCAATATGTTTTGCAGTTTATATCATCTGGTATGAGTTTGAAGATACTTAAGGAGGCTCTACTTCAACAAAAGGAAATTGAGGAAGAAGAGCATTTGTAACAGAACCCTATTGGTTTAGTTTTTATGGAAGATTGTAGAGATGCGATCGAGGATGATAAAGACGGTAATTTTGATAATTTTGTAAGATTTTCTGAAACTTAGAGTTAGTATGTTGACTTCGAGATTTGTACATGCCATTCAAGTTTTTATGTTTTCTTTTTTACCAAGCAGAGTTCATTTTACAGCATTTCACAGCATTTTTATATATATCATTTGAGTAGAGTGTTTGTTTAACCTATTAAAAATTTGGCTATATTTGATTTTTTTCTAAATTTTTGTAAAACACAAAAATAATGATTATTTAAAAAGAAGAAATAAATAACAAATACAATTTCAGATTTTGTGTTACTCCATTCACATATTAGTATAAATAAATAATAAAATAATAAAATAAAATACAAAGGAAATATAAATTTTTAACCAAAAATTTAATTAGAGAAACCTCCCAAAAAAATCCACGTTGTACTGAACCCAAATAAAAAAAAAAGGGAAAATGGCACTTTTTCCCCCTATGTTATATACTTATAGCACTTTTTCCCCCTCAATTATTTATGTAAGCACATTAGCCCACTCAATTATTTTAAAAGTGGTGGTTTTCCCCCCTAATATATTAAATTGACATTTCTACCCTTAAAGTAAACATTTTATTTATTTTACTTCTCCAACAAATTATTGCGTATATGTAGCGATTAC